GACCCAAAAAAAAAAAAAAAAAAAAAAAAAAAAACTGTTCTCCTGTGACAGATTTTTAAATTAATTGCTTATATTCCAACATATGAATGGAGCATCATTCATTCAAACTCCCACCCATAACCATTTATGCTGCTTCCTAATTTTTTAATTTTTCCAATTTTTTCATTATAAACTTATACATGTTTATTACGGAACTCTGATGATACCCAGAGTTATAGCAAGAGGGAAATAACCTCGTACTTCCAAACTCAGTAACTATAACATTTCTGTGTTCTCCATACCCATTGTTTTACTATGTGCCGATCTGATGGATACGCATTTTTTACATATTAGAATGACTTATAATATACAATATAATATAGGGTCGTTTCAAATCAGGCTTATTTTTTAATACTTGTCATCTCTCACGGTATTGTTCATCCGTTTGGGTTTTCACTTAACCCTGCTTTAGAGAAAGATTCTTTTCCCTTCTTGGTTGACTCTTCACCACCTGAACTTGGTATATTTATCAAGTGTTGATGCAGCTGACCATGGATTCAGGAATGGGGTTGGAAAATGCTGGTGGAGAGACGTTTTTGTCTGGGAGGGCCACTCCAGAAACAGGCTTCAGTGTGCTAAGGAACAGAGCTGGGGCTCCATTTATCCTAAAAATATAAATCACCCAGTTGCCCAAAGATGACTGCCTTGGCGTTGTTTACAATAGTGAAAAATGAGGGACGACCCAGGCCCATCAACAGGCAGCGGGTCAAATAGATTCAGAGCAACCCTTTGATGAATCCTGTGCAGTCTCTGCTGAGATGGAAGGGTGTCCTCCGTCGTGTAAATGAGAACAGCATATTACAAAACGGAACACATCATGTAAACGTGGGGATCTGTGTTTGTTTGTAAGCGTAGGCATTTGTGTATCCCAAAGACCATTTAACTAAATACTAGCAGCTGCTGTCTCTGGGTAGCATAGGATTTGGGGTGATTTTCACTTTCTATTTTATTTTTATTCTTTTCTGGATTAAGATTTTAAAATTCTTTTCTTTTAGAGGGCACAGATTACTTTGGACTGGGGGAGGGGCAGCAAAACAAAACAAAAGCCGTTTGGATTCTGCAAAGAAGAAATGCGTGGGGGGAAAGACATCCCTGCCCATCCCCTGCATCCCCTGGGGTGCAGACTCAGGGGGTGCAGCCTGCCCAGTTCCTGCCCCCTGCAGCCCCTGCCCTGCCCCTCACCCCACTCCCCAGCACGGCCCTGTGTGCTTGTGTGTTGCAGACTCGGACAGCCAGTGCAGCCCCACGCGACAGAGCCTCAGCCTGTCGGAGGGCGAGGAGCAGACAGACCGGCTGCAGCAGGTGGAGCTGGTCAGGACCACGCCCATGTCGCACTGGAAGGCCGGCACCGTCCAGGCCTGGCTGGAGGTGGTCATGGCCATGCCCATGTACGTCAAGGCCTGTGCGGAGAACGTCAAGAGTGGGAAGGTAGGGCACCTGCCGGATCCCCGTGGGAACGCCCCCCTCCACCATCCCATCCTCTGGGTTAGAGGAGCTGGCTGAACTGGGTTCAGGCTCCAGTAAACCACTGTGTCTCTCCGACAAGGCACACAGCCCTTCTGAGCCTCAGCCGCCCTGTCTTTAAAATGGGACTAACCTTCCCTTACCTGGCTGGAGGGACGCAGGACAGGACTAGCGGGCCCTTTCAGCCAGGTCAGCGGTCCCACCGCCTGGCCTCATGGAGCAGTGGCTGGAGGCGAGGCGGCTGCAGAGACTTTCGGCCGCGCGCCCACTGAGGGGAGGGGTGCCTTGGGTCCCCGCCCCCACGCCTCCCTTCCGGCGCTCAGTCTCCACCTGCCCGGCGCAGGTGCTGCTGAGCCTGAGTGACGAGGACCTAGAGCTGGGCCTGGGCGTGTGCAGCTCCCTGCACCGGCGCAAGCTCCGGCTGGCCATTGAGGACTACCGCGACGCCGAGGCAGGCAGGAGGTGAGCCGGCGCCTGGGCCCCGGGGTGGGGGGAGAAGAGAGCCCACGCGAGACCTCGCCTCCTCGGGGGTGGAGCGGGCGCTGTGAGCTGGGCCAGGCGGGAGGAGTGCCAGGGCCCCGGACGCCACTGGGCAGGGGCTCGAGCACAGCCTAGCCGCACTCTGGGCCGGCCCTCCCCGTAGAAAGATGGAGAACAAACTCAGTGAGGCCGTAAATGCCCTATGATCTCCCCGGTGCGGGAGTCAGGGGGCTTCACGCCCCCCCAGAACTCCTCTGTCTGGGAGGTGGGGCAGCCCCAGTCGATCTGGGGAATTTGGCCCAAATGTGTGTTCTGCCTACTCCCACCTCAAAGCCCAGCTCTTACCATTCCAGGTAAGAGCCTAAAGCAGGGAGGAAGAGAAGAAATGGGCCTGGTTTGGGGCCCGGTGGGAGGGGGCGTCTATCGGCAAGCGCACCTGGGAATGGCTGAAGATGGCCCATCAGGTGTGTCCCCAGCGCGGCCGCCCTGCCCCCATTGCTCATTACCGCCCCCCCCCCCAACGCCCTCCTGCTTGCCTCTCTCCTGACCTTTGTGAGCAGGACTTATTGGGGAGCCCCTCTTTCACCAAGCAGCTCCAGAAAAAAGGGAAGAACCCCTCCCCGAAGTCTTCAGAGTGCAGGAGGGGGGAGAAAAGTAGCTGGTAAACCTGACACTGTTTTGCATAATTATCTCCTTCACTGGTTTCCCCAGCATTTTTGTGCAGTTAATTAATCAAACCTGGTGGTGTGTGCTATTTATTATTTACAGAAGCAGCTTTGTGGATTAAAAAAAAAGAGGGGGCTGGAGGTAGGAAAGAAGGCTGGTTTAGAAGCAGGAAAAGCAAATTCCTGGGTGTCCCGGAGAGTGATTCCGAGGTGACAGGAAATAGAGATGAGATGGGATCAGAAACTCAGGCAGCAGCTCACAACAAGCAAAGCCAGAAGACGCTGGGCCCTGTCAGCAGGTCTCCTAGACGGCAGGGCTGGTGGGGGAGGGGTGGAGGAGTGGAGAGTTGGGGGCAGGGGAGAGCAGGGCAGGAGCTTGCAACCCAGCTGAGCTTCCCCTCCTGGGGGTCCCGCAAGCACCTCACACTCACCACCCACCCCTACCCAGTGCCTTCCCCCAATCCCCCAAAGCTCACCATCCTGGGCCATCCAGGCTAGAAACGCCTCCCAACCCCTCCCATTCCCAACGTGATCATGGTTACTTGAACAGGGTGGGGCTGCCCGCCTCACCTCTCAAAAATGTGGGATCGCTGCCCAAGTTCCCCCGAAATTCAGCAGACCCTTCAGAACCTCGTTGCGCCGGGAAAGGGATGGATTCAACTCAGCAGCCAGATGTGAACGGATTTTGAAAACTTATGAGAGCCATAAGCAGGACTGTTTCCAAAACCACGGCCTGGGCATTAGACACCCAGGGCCTCCTAGAGCAGGGAGGGGCCTTCATTTAAGGGCTCCATTCCCTAAGGAATCCTGGCCTGTCTCTAACTTGCCCAGTGACCTTGCCCTCTGTGGGACTTGGTTTCTCCACCTGTGAAGTAAAGGGGGTTAAATTAGGATAGTGGCTCTTTAACTGTGCGAGATCATGGCCCCTTTGAGAATCTAACAAGAGCTTCCGAAACTTGCCCCAGAAGAAATACACAAAACTTCACAACTTTGCATTCTGGGACTCTCTGACCCACCTGTGGAACTTTGAGGGGGCTGTGAACTCTAGGGTAAGAACCCCGGTGAGGTCCTGTGTGACTCTGGGCATGACATTGCCCTCTCTGGGCCTGGCTCCCCTTACCTCTAAAATCGTGCCAAAAATCTGCCAACCCCTGACAACCTGTCCGTCACTTTATGGACATGATTTTATTTGACCATCACAACATCAGGGCAGGATAGACATTCTTACCCCCATTTTAAAGGTGGAGAAAGTGAGGCCAGAGAAGTAATGGACACAAAGTCACACTACAAAAGATCTGACTTCAAAGTCAATTCCCTTTCCACTCTCCCAAGTTGCCTTTGTGTTCAAAACATCAACGATGTAGCTCCTGCTACTATTATTTCTGGAACACTGAATGCATCCCAGACCCTGTGCTAAGGACTTTACCTTCTCTTACCTTCTCGTATCACTTCTAGCCCAGGAGGCAAGTAGGAGTAGCCCCATTTTACAGAAGAGGAAACCGAGGTACAGAGGCACGAGGTCTTTCATCTAAGGCTGATGGAGCTAGAGTGGCCTCATGTTTTCTGTGCTGAATGATGACCCAGATGACATTGAAATTCTGTGCCCAAACTCGGATTTCAGGATCTAATTTGGTCCCAGTTTGAGGAGGGGGCAGTGTCAAATTTTATAAAATGTTTGAATTACTTTTAAAATCATTCTGTTTTATTCACCTTCGGTGCTTACAGTGGCTCACACCAACAGCTGGGAAAGTGTTGCCAAGCTGAGGCCCCATGGGGACAACTTTAATGGAAAGAGAACCATTTGGAAGGGCAGGAGTGCATTAATTATCAGCATGTAGAGGGATACTGCTGATTATAAATGGGCCCCCTCCCACCCCACACCCCACGTCTGGTTGCGCCATTGATTCGCTGAGCAGACCCTTCCTTGAGACGGAAAAGAAGTCTTCTGGTCTCCATCAAAGGCCCAACAGCATCTGATTCAGAGACTGTGAGCTTCAGCCCCTTTCCCAGGGAAGAGAGCAACGACGGCTGGGCCTGGGAAGAGTCCATCTGAAGTGACGAGGCTGGAGCGGGTCACCCAGGCACCTTCTCATCCCAGAAGGGAGCTTGTCTTGGGCCAGAAGGTTCCAGCTCAGGAGCTGGGTGCTGGGAAGCCTGGGGCCGGTGACCCCCTTGCCCAGCCTTGCCCTGTCTTCCTTGCACTGGACTCTAAACCAGAAGCTGTTGGGCATTAGTTCTGAGCCAGGTGGGGAGCCTGGGCATTCGTAGACACGCCACACCCGGTCCTGCCCTCCAGGAGCTGATGGTCCAGTGGACAGCTGGCCAGACGAGCAGCAAGTACCCAGTGTGACAAATGCGAGGACTCTGAAGAGTCTCTGGACACAAGGGGGGTCTTGACCTGGCACAGGGGTCCTGGAAGGCTTTGGGGAGAGCCATATCTCAACACGGTCTTGCAGGAGTTAAGCAGGTGAAGAGGGTAGGGTGGAGAACAGCCCAGGAGGCCGGGAGGCCCTGGCCCTTGGGGGCAGACCCAGTGGTTCTGGGTGGCCGAGGGGTGGGAGGAGGGAAGCGGAGCTGGGAGCCCACCTTTCTGCCCTCAGTCCTTCCCATGATATGTCTGCTACGCATTCGGCACTAGGCTGACTCGGAGCCTAGAGACCACAGTCCCTGGGCGCAGATACTTCATTTGTTAAGTTCCATGTGTGATGGGTGCTGTGAAGGGAATTGTTAGAGGCAGAGCAGCAGGTCAGGGGGCAAGTTCAGACAGCACAGTCAGAGGCAGCCTCTGCAAGGTGGGAGCTGACACCTGGGCAGGGCTGGAAGGAAATGGGTGCCGGGCAAGGCAGGGACCCCCACCACCTGAGGAGCAAAAACCTCAGGGCATCCCGGAAGTGCTTCCAGCCCAAGCCCGGTGGGAGGGGGAGCCCGGACCTGCGAGGTCACCCCAAAGACTTCCGATTTCAGATTTTATTCCTGCAAAGGGGCGCCACGGGAGAGTTTCCTTGTTTTATTTTATTCAAATCTGCTCTGTTCTTTTTTCCCTCTTTTACTGGCTTTTTATTGAGCGTTCCCACTCCTGGCTTATGAGCTATACTTTTGTGTGTTATTTTTAATTATTGCTCTATAGTTTACAATACACAGAAAGCTTAACACTATCTTCAAATAATATTATACAACTTTGTGTGTAGTGTAGTGTAACATGCTTTTTCCTCCTTCCTTTGCACTATGTCTATATATATACATATATATATATATATATATCCTCCATAATACATGGTTATTATTTTTCTTTTAAACTGGCCATTATCTTTTAAGGAGATTAGCAAGTGAGGAAAATATTTACCGAGATTATTTACCATTTCCAATCATCTTTTTTAAAAAAATTTTTTATTGTGGTAAAATACACAAAATTTACCATCTTAACCATGTTTAAGTGTCCAGTTCAGTGGCATTAAATATATTCACATTGCTGTGCAGCCATCACCACCATCCCTCCCAATAACTCTTTTTTTTCTTTTTCTTTCTTTTTTTTCTTTGCGCTATGCGGGCCTCTCACTGTTGTGGCCTCTCCCGTTGCGGAGCACAGGCTCCGGACGCGCAGGGTCAGCGGCCAACAGGGGCACAAACCCGCATCCCCTGCATCGGCAGGCAGACTCTCAACCACTGCGCCACCAGGGAAGCCCCCTCCCAATCACTCTTTTCATCTTGTAAAACTGAAACTGTACCCATTAACACTAACTCTCCATTCTCCCCTCCCCCCAGGATACCTGCAACCACCATTCTACTTTCTCTAGGAATCTGACTACCCTAAGTACCTCATATAAGTGGAATCACAGAGTATTTGTCTTTTTGTGACTGGCTTATTTCACTTAGCATAATGTCCTCAAGATTCATCCATGTTGTAGCATATGAGAGAATTTCCTTTTTAAGGCTGAAAAATACTCCCTTTTATGTATGTAGCCCATTTTGCTTATCTGTTCATCCATCAATGGACGCTTGGGTTGTTTCTACATTTTAGCTCTTGTGAATATTGCTGCAATGAACCTGGATGTACAAATATCTCTTCAAGACCCTGATTTCAATACCTTGGGATATATATTTAAAAGTGGAATTGCTGCATCATATGATAATTCTATTTTTAATTTTCTGAGGAACAGTCACACTGTTTTCCACAGCAGCTATACCATTGTACATCCTCACCAACAGTGCACAAGGGTTCCAATTTCTCCACCTCCTTGCCAACACTTGTTTTCTGGGTTTTTTGATAGTAGCCATCCTAATGGGCATGGAGTGGTATTTTATCACAGTTTTGATTTGCATTTCCCTCACGATTAGTGATATTGAGCATCTTTTCATGGGCCTATTAGCCATTCTTACATCTTCTTTGGAGAAATGTTTATTCAAGTCCTTTGCCCATTTCTGAATCGGATTGTTTGTCTGTTTTGTTGAGTTTTAGGAGTTCTCTTTATTCTTTTGTGTAGTCCAAATTTCCATGTGGTTATTATTTTCTTTCCTCTCGAAGAAATTCCTTTTACATTTCTTGTAGTTCATTCCTCTGATGATGAAGTCTTTCAGTTTTGCTTGTTTAAAAAAGTCTGTTTCCTTCCTCATTTTTAAAGACTTTATTTTTTAGAGCAGTTTTAGTTTCACAGCAAAACTGAGGGGAAGCTACAGAGATTTCCCATAAACCGCCTGCCCTCACAGGTGCATTGCCTCCCATTATCAACATCGCCCTCCAGATGGAATACTTGTTTCAGTTGAACCTACAATGACACATCCTTGTTACCCAAAGTCCATAGTTTACATTAGGGTTCACTCTTGGTGCTGTACATTCTATGGATTTGGACAAACATATAATGGAGTGCATCCATCATTACAGTACCATACTGAGTAGTTTCACCGCCCTAAAAATCCTCTGTGCTCTACCTTTTCATCCCTCCCTCTCCCCCAAACCCTGGAAACCACTGGTCTTTTTGCTGTCTCCGTAGTTTTGCCTTTTCCAGGATGTCATATAGTTGAAATCATACAGTATGTAGCCTTTTCAGATTAGCTTCTTTCACTTAGTAATATGCTTAGTAATATGAAGATTCCTCTAAGAGGGGGTTTTAAGTAGACGAGTGACATGATCTGATGGCTGTATTTAAAAGCTGCCATCTGGCAGCCACGGGGAAAGTGGATTAGAAGGGGCAAGGGGGTGGGGGGGGGCAGTCAGGAGGCAGCTGCAGAAATCTATGCCAGAGGTGGCCATGGCTTGACCCCAGAAAAGGAGACAAGGGGGCGGACACACTGACCAGAGTGATTGATAGATGGACAGAGTAGGGAAGGGGAGAGGCGGGGCAAGTGAGGATGGGGAGATGGGAGAGAGGACCGGCATTTCATTTGGAGCCTGTTAAATTTGAGATGCCCGTGCCAGGAGGAGATGTCAAGAGGGCAGCTGGTTAGAATCCGGGGCTCAGAAGAGGTGAGTGAAGAGAGATGTGAACTTGCAAGTCCCTGTTAACAGATGTGATCCAGAGCCCTGGAAATGGAGGTCAGCCCCGGACGGGAGAGTGTAGGGGTGGTGAAGGGAAGGGGTGAAGATGGGAGATGTGCCCATTGTAAGGCCGCATCTGCATCTACCTGGCACGGAGCTAAGTAGCTGCTCCATACACATTCTTGGAGCGGAGGAAGGAAACGAGGAGCCATCGAGGACACCAGCAGGAGGGGAGGGGCGTGATCCGCTATCTCCATCCTAGGGAAGGGCTGAAGGGGCCCCAGAGGCAGGGAGACCAGCTGGAAGGCGAAGTCCGGGGGGGAGACGACGGTGCATAGAGTGAGCGGTGGAGAGTAGAAAGGAGGAAGCGGAATCAGATGAGGTTGAAAACCGCACCCAGGTCTCCAGCTTGGCCGGTAGGGTGCTCTACTCACAGCCTCCATCCCACCCCAGCTGGGGAGTGGGTGAGGGGTGCTCCCTCTGCCAGCCCAGATCCCAGGCCTGGGGAGGAGGGCGGCGTCACTCCGTAAGCCCATGTTTTCTCTTTCGCATCAGGATCCCTTTGTGGTCGGTCCCCCGAGGCTCCCACTTCAGCAGTGCAACTCCCTACCCGGCATCACCTCCGGTAGTTTCTCCAAGTTCCTCCGCAGGTGGGAGGCGCCGCCCTCATTCATTCTGCGAGGCTGCCACCCTGTGGCGAGCACGGGAATGACATCTGAGGGGACCACGCTTTTATCCATTTGAGACGTGTTCGTTTTGCGCCTACTACGTGCGCATGCCCATGGCACTGGGTGAAGTTCTGGGTGGGATACAGAAAATCTGAGATACGGCGGTGAGGAGAGACGACTTGGAATAAGCAAAACGTGGGGTTTATTTCTGATTCCAAGACGTGTCGCTGTGTGACTCTGGGTGTGTGTGGGGGGGTGCCGGGGTCCCCAGAGGTGCTGCTTACTGCTGCATTCGTCCCTGCGGCTTTGTCGTTGTCCCTTTCCACTCTCAGTGTGTCTGAACATGGTCTCTTCTCTTCTTGTTCCCTGTGCCTCTCTGCTGATCCCTTTTTTATTCTCTGGGGCTTGCTCTCTGTTTCTGTCTCTCCCTCTGTCTCTGTCTCTCTGTGTCTGTCTGCCTCTCTCTCTGTCTATTTCTCTCTGTCTCCTCTGTGTCTGTGTCTCTCTCCTATGTCTCTGTCCCCCTCTCCCTGTGTCTCTCCCTGTCTCCTCCTCTCTCTCTCCCCTCCATCCACCTCTCCCCACCTCTGCCCTCTGTCTTTCTTCCTCTCTGTCTCTCCACTCCATCCCTGTTCATTTCTCTGTCTGTGTCCCCTCCCCACCATTGTTTTGCTTCTAATTCTTTATCTCTGCTCATCTCTGCCCCATTTCTCCCTGTCCCTCTGTTTCTGCCACCTTTCCCCACCCACCCCTCTCTCCGGCTGTGTCTCTCCTCACCAGCCTGTCCAAAGCCGCTGACCTGGACCATCACTGGGTGGCCAAGGCCTGGCTGAATGACATCGGCCTGTCCCAGTACTCCCAGGCCTTCCAAAACCACCTGGTCGATGGGCGGATGCTGAACTCCCTGATGAAGCGGGACCTGGAGAAGCACCTGAATGTGTCCAAGAAGTTCCACCAGATCAGCATCCTGCTGGGAATCGAGCTGCTGTACCAAGTGAACTTCAGCAGGGAGGTGAGAAGCGGGGTTGGTGGGGGGCACCTTCCACAGCCCTGCTTTCCTATCCGCATCCACTGTCTGTCCATCCAACCACCTGCTCATCTGCCCACCCATCTATCTATCCATCCATCCATCCTTCTACCTGTCCATCCACCCATCCATCCCTTCCTCTCTCCCTCCCCCCTTTAAACAACTGCTTATTGGGGATGAGCCAGACCCTGTGCTCAATTCAGGGGAAACGGGAAACACTCATCCTCCAAGGACTCACTGCTTATCAGGGGAAGCCACAAAGAAGCTTGTGGTCACAACATCATGGAAGGTTGTCCCAGTGAGAGAAGCCCAGGGTTTTCTGAAAACGCAAAGGAGAAGCTTCCAGAGGGATCAGAGAAGCCCTCCCAGAGGTAGTGACACCTAAAGTGAGACCTGAAGGAGGAATTTCAGGGATCAGTCAATAGAAGGTATGAGGGGGAAAGCAGCCCAGAGAGGGAACAGCATAGACTAAGGCCCAGAGGACAGATCTGTGGCAGCAGAAGATCTGAGAGTCCTGTGTGGTTCCCATGCTGGGTTTGAGGTGGAAGGGTGAACGGGAGTGCAAACAGGTAGCTGGGGGACTGTAGGGCATATGGAGCTTGGACTCTGAGTGCCCCTTGTTCTGAGTGCTGCCAAGCCAGAGAGCCCAGGGCATCTCCTTCAGCTTCTCCAAGGCCTACCGGCACCTCTCCCCAAATAGTCCCCCGAGGTGGGGGTCCCAGGCTGCTGGGGTCTGTGGGGCTGAGTGCAGAGGGCTTACTTTTCTTAGAGCACCGTCAGAGCACAAGCAGTTCAGGGGTGGGAGGAGAGGGGTCTTCTGGGTCTTCTCAGACACCCAGCGCAGAGCCCTGGGCACAGGAAGCGATGAGGACACAGGCCCTGCCCCCAGGAGCCCCAGTCTGGTACAGGAGGTGACGAGTGGGCCGATCGTGACAGTGAAGTGTGGAAATGGGTGGCCTCATCTGGGGCCGTCCCTCCACAAACACGCATCGAGCACCTGCTCCAAGTCAGGTGAGCAGGGGGCTGGGATACACAACCAGGCAGCCGTCGTGGGTCCCAGGCAGCCCCAGCCTCCAGATGCAGGCGGCTCTGCCTCCAGGCTCCTTCACCCCGGAAGTGGGCTTCTCCCCATTTTCCAGAATGAAAGGATCGACGTGGTCAGAGCAGCCGTGGATGGCCTGGCCAGGAGCCTCACATCAGCATGCTGAGGTCCCTGCCAGCACCGTGGACCCTCATCCCCCCGGCTGACCCACCCTCCCCACCCCAACAGGCCCTCCAGGAGCGCCGGGCTCGCTGCGAGACGCAGAACATAGACCCCGTGGTCTGGACCAACCAGCGGGTGCTCAAGTGGGTGCGAGATATCGACCTGAAGGTGAGGGGAGATGGCGGGGCTGGGGGTAACTCTTGGGCAAATCCCATGCACGTCTGTGTGTGTGCAAATCAATATCCATTTTTGCGTGGGCTGAGGCATCGTCGCCCAGGCTGGCAAGAATAACCTGCCTCCTGTCACTCAAGAGGAGCGAACTACTCCCCGCTCCTGCCATCCCCCCAGCAGCGCCCACGTCTCATGGGGCAGGAGGGAGTGCTGAGCCATTCTCGCTCTCTGAAGCCAGGGCGGGATTGAATCCACACGCACCTTCTCCCTCAATAAGCATTTATGGGCTGCCTGCCTCAGTCTGGGTATGTCAGTGACAAAATAGTCCAGTCGCTGCTCTCATGGCCCTAAAAGAGTGGGGTGGGGTTCCCTCTCAGTATTAAATGAACTGGTCCCCGGAGGTCAAGCCCTTGCTGTTGGGGGCATATCCCCAGTGGAGGTGGGGCCCCCTCAGGCCAGCAGGGTGGCTCACCGGCCTCATGTCTTGCCCTCAGGAGTACGCAGACAACCTGACCAACAGTGGTGTCCACGGCGCCGTGCTGGTGCTGGAACCCACGTTCAACGCTGAGGCCATGGCCACGGCCCTGGGCATCCCCAGCGGGAAGCACATTCTCCGGAGGCACCTGGCAGAGGAGATGAGTGCCATCTTCCACCCAGCCAAGTGAGCGTGGGCTGCTGGCTGCAGCTCGCAGCTTTTGGAAGCGGATGGTCCTGGCCCATCCTTCCTGGATCCCACCTGTTCCTTTGCAACACGGCGGTCTCCTTTGGCAGATCCAGAAACTGAGGCTCAGAGAAGTGCAGTGCTTTAGCCTGAACGCCGTAGTAGAAAGAGATAGAGGAGTAGTCAGGTTTTGAATAAAGTGCATGGTTAAAACGGGCATTTAGAGAAGGGAGAGTGACCAGCGTGTATGAGGAAGGCCATGTGAGGGTGGGGTTTGAGCTGGGGAGGATTCACACTGGCCTAAGAGGTTGAGATGGCTGTTCCAGGCAGGGCTGACTATGGGGACGAAGGTTTGGAGACAGGGATGGGCATCTTAGTGGTTTTTACCATCTAGGTGAGCAGACCATGTCGGCCCACCTACCCCAGGCTCCTCATCTGAAAAGTGGCCAGAGAATAAACACGTGAACAGATGAACTCCCAATGCACTCTCTGCTTTTACAATGATTGTGGTTAGGGTTAGATGACCATTTACTGAGCACATGCCATGGGCACTAATTCTATCCACATGACGATGCTAAGAAATTAGTTTCACTGTCCCTCCTTTATAGATGGAGAAAATTGTTTGAAGGAGCCAAGGTACTTGCCTAAGGTCAAACAGCTAGTAAATGTCAGAGCCCAGATTTGTCCTTTATTCTGTTAATGTGATATATCATGTGATTGATTTTCAGATGTTAAACCAACCTTGCATTCATTCCTAGGATAAATCCCAGTTGGTCATGGTGTATAATCCTTTTATATGTTGCTGTATTAGGTTTGCTAGTATTTTGTTGAGGAATTTTGCATCAATATTTACAAGGGATATTGGTCTGTAGTTTTCTTGTGATATTTTTGTCTGGTTTTGGTATCGGAGTAAAATTGGCCTCATAGAATGAGTTGGGAAGTTTTCTCTCATCTTCTGTTTTTGGGAAGAGTTTGTGAAGGTTTGCTGTTCATTATTCTTTAAACATTTGGTAGAATTCATCAGTGAAGCCATCTGGTCCTGGGCTTTTCTTTGTGGGAAGTTTTATTATTATTATTATTATTATTAATCCAAACTCTTTACTGATTGTAGATCTATTTAGATTTTCTGTTTCTTCTTGAGTCAGTTTCAGTAGTTTATATCATTTTTTAGGTTCTTACTTTTTAAAAACATTTTTTAATTGCAGTATAGTTGATTTACAATATCGAGTTAGTTTCAGGTGTACACCACTATATATATATGTTCATTCTTTTTCGGATTCTTTTCCCTTATAGATTATTATAAAATATTGGGTACAGTTCCCTGTGCTATACAGTAGGTCCTTGTTGGTTATCTATTTTATATATAGTAGTGTGTATAGTTTATATCTTTCTAAGAATTTGTCCATTTCATCTAAGTTAGCTATTTTGTTAGCATACAATTGATCATATAATCATTTCCTTGTAATCCCTCTTATTTATGTAGAGTTATCCCCTTTCATTCCTAGTTTTACTAATTTGAGTCATCACCCTTTATTTATTTATTTATTTATTTATTTTTGGCTGCGTTGGGTCTTCGTTTCCGTGCGAGGGCTTTCTCTAGTTGCGGCAAGTGGGGACCACTCTTCATCACGGTGCACGGGCCTCTCACTATCGCAGCCTCTCTTGCTGCGGAGCATAGGCTCCAGACGCACAGGCTCAGTAGTTGTGGCTCATGGGCTTAGCTGCTCCGCGGCATGTGGGATCTTCCCAGACCAGGGCTTGAACCCGTGTCCCCTGCATTGGCAGGCAGATTCTCAACCACTGCGCCACCAGGGAAGCCCCATCACCCTTTTTAACTCTTGGTCAGTCTAGCTAAAGGTCAGCTCATTTTGTTAACAGATGCCAGATTTGAACCTGAGGCTCTCTGCGTCAGGCCTGAGTGCTCAACCCCCAAACCGCATGGGGCCTCAGGGAACAGCTGAGCCACACCCCATGTTATGCAAGGTGGGAGAAAATTGTGCATCTGTCGCAGCGTCCAGGTGCCCTGGACTGCCCTCCCCCATTGGCAGGCTGATACCCAAGCAGTTCTCATAGATCCTGCAGCAGAATCATCGGTGCTCTTGTAACATGCAGATACCTCATCCCCAGCTCAGACCTACAGGACCAGAATTTGCTGGCAGAGCCCGGGAATCTACATTTTCACGCATTGTATGCATGCTGAGGTGGTTTTGACAAGAACCCTATTCCATGAGCCATGAATCAACAGGTGCAGGAAAAAGGCTTTTCTCCTCAGCATTTTCCACCTGCCTTTACCTCCTTTCTGGAGCCATGTGATCTGTAACAGTCTTATGATCTTCCAAGCCCTGGAGGGGCAGCTCTAGCTAAACATTAGCCGTGTGACTAACATTTGTGTACTGATTAAAACCCGCAGTCACCCCCCCCCCCCCCCCCCCCCCCCCCCCCGCCATGAGGTGGGAGGTATGTTGACGACTATCTAGGATTAGTGGGTGAGCACTAGGGAAGTTTCAATGGGGCACAAATAGGGTGGGTTCTTAGGTCGTTGGGAGGTCAGCGACTCCTTCAGGAACCAGGTGAAAGCAGTCCTCCTGATGTCAGGACAAGGAAGGAGGAAATGGACTCAGTCCAGGCTCCTCATTTTACCTCTGAGGAATCTGAGGCTGCTCAGCCAGGGAGCCAAGAGGCAATGCCAGTACCAGACCCCAAACCTGTCTCCCTGTTAGGACCTTTTCCCTTGATGCTGCTTTTTTGCACATATTGGTCATAGTTTATGAGTCAAGGTCTCCACGTGGGATGTGGGATTTTGGAACCTCGCGGCCCATTGCTGAGACCCTGCCATGGGCCAGGGGATCCGACTTTCAGTTAGCTGGGGGAAGACAGAACTCCATGAGTCACTAAGGAATTTTACAGCCCACTGCTGTTGGTACAAGAGTCCCCAGCTAAGCCAAACACCAGGGAGACAGTGATCCCCAGGCAGGTGGTGAGATGCTTGGGAAGATCTGATGGGTTTATATTAACCAAGATCTTCGGGCTTTGCCCAGGACAACTCTGCAGTGGTCTAGGTATCTCATCCTGTCTACTGCCTTCTCGCTCCTTTTCCATCTCTGTTGCTGATTTCAGCTTTCCAGAAAGAGAAAGGGCAGGGCAGGTCTTTTGGGGTGAGTCCTCCCAGAATGCTTGGATTGGGTGGAGAGATTCCAGTTTGAGGAAACATCCCGAACCATCGAAATAGACTTGAGAAGACAACCCTGGGACTGAATCCCAGGCCGGGTGAAACAGAGTGATGGTCATAACAGCAGTCCTTCACACTGATATCATATGTCATCGTCAACAGAGTGCTGTCACATCCCTTGTTTCATTTTCTCCTCCTCCCTGTGAAGGAAGCTGAGTGAGAAGGAATCGTTGCCTCCTTTGACGGGTGAGGTGACAGGCTTCAGAGAGGTGCTGTGACCTGCTCAAGACTAGAGGGGAGTTCGTGGCAGTGCTGGAATCTACCAGCAGGGACTCCTATGACCCTCCACCACACCAGGAAGCTTGGAGATGGGGGCTGATGAGCACCTGGTTCCACTCTCCAGGAGACGTGACCCCTGATCACATCTGTGATCCCACATCACCCGGTAGATGTGATGCCTGTAGTCACAGGGGGGCAGTCAGCTCAGAGCATCTTGGGAGATTATAGTCCCCGTGTATTAATGGCCCGTGACCAGGAAGTCAGGGAACATCAGTACCCAGCCCAACTCTAGGAAAGGCACATTTACCAAGAGTTCATAGGTTCCAATATGATATCATGTTCTGCAGCCTCCTCTCATTGCCATGACAACCATATGACCAAAGGGACTGAGGCGGGGCACTTTCTGACATCATCCTGTGATGTCTGCTTTGACACACACTGACTTCTTGCTTCTCCCGGTAAACCCCGGTCGAGCACCAACTCTGTCCTAGGACCGTGCGTTAAAGATCCACAGAAATAAATCAGTGGACCAAAAGGATGCGGGGAGTAGCCAAGCCGTTCCAAAGCATCACGGGAGCCAAAGAAAAAAAAGCCTTAATGAAAATGTGTGACCATCTCCAGCACTTCCCTGAAGGACGGTGTATCCTGCCACTAACAGAGGGTCAGGCACAAGGCGGATTCAGCCTGTAGTTCATTTAGATTCTCTCTGAATGTTAGGCCTGGGAAGAGTCCCCTTTAGGCCTCGGAAGCATCAGGCAAACGTTGCATCTCTCTTGTAAATACTCCTCCCCATCCTGTGGCCTCGTGACCCATGGCCCCAAAGTGCCCCTTTTTGTTTCCAAGGATGCAAGAGTCAGCCGGCATCTCCCTCCTTTCCCTCCTCCTTCCCCCTCCAGACACAGTTATAAGGTGGGGTTATCAAGCTACTATAACCATTTGCTAAGCTCTGCCACGGGCCAGGCTCAGAACCTAGCACGTTGTTGCCACCTCCTAGAGGCGGGTGCGTGAGCCCCATTTCACAGATGAGAAAACTGAGGTACAGCAAGGCTGCATATCTTGCCTGGGGCCATAAGCTGGTAAACTGAGGAGCTGGGATTCAAAGCATCGTGCTTTGTTGCTTCCCTAAAGGGCAGAAAGAGTGGCCAGAACAACAGGGGAATTGTGTCGAGCAGTGGTCTCATCTCCCTAGGCCCCTCCCGGGGGACCTTTGAGCCTCCATCCCAAAGTATAAACAGTGAGACAAAGTGAACGTGGAGCCTGGCCTAGAGACGCCCCCCGATAACTGACAGTTCATGTCCCCTGACCTCACAGGAGTGCTGGAGCGTCTCACTGAAACAGTTTCCTCTTGAGTTGGTTCCATGGGGCTCCCCTTTCTGTCACTTTGCTCCAGTGTTCTCATTAGCGTTGCAGCAGGGAAGAGCAATTCCATTATGAACTCAAAGAGACTCAGCCCTCGAGCACACAGAATAAGAGGCCTTGTCACAGCTCTACCTCCTTGGCTGGCAGGCTACCCGGGTCTGAGAGATCCAGGCAGCAGACAAGGGGGAGTATTCCTGGGCCCCCTGGCAGGTCACCTGAGCCAGGTGGGGAAAGGGGCACATTGAGATTTTCAGGCACCCACAAGAAGGTGATGTTTCAGGATATTCTGCCTCACCCCACCCGCAAAGGATCACTGAACTGTGAGCCCAGAGACCAGGCCCTGGGGCGGTGTGGTCCATGGAGTCGTGGTCCTATGTAAGGAGGGGGCACAGCAGGGCCTTTGGGGGCTGAATTCTGGCTCCTCTTCCATCATCTGTGGTTGTAGCAAGAAACTGGAGCCACGGTTCCCTCATCCTGAAATGCAGACAATCACTCCTGTTCCCCAGGGCTTCAGGAGGGTTCAAGGAGCTGACTCGGGGGAAGGACCTGGCGTCATGCCTGGAACACAGTAGGCGGCCAATCAATACTCTGTCCTCCCCCACTTCACTCAGCTCCACCGAAGCATCTTACACCTCACGGGCCTCGTAAACCTTCATTTAATTGCGTGAGACTCAGCCCTCAGGCCAGCCCCGCCGACAGAGGCTGATTCCCACACCCCGCCACCTTCCTTCCTGCACACGATGCCTTTTTAGTGCCCAGGACACCCTGTACATTGACTCAGGAAATGAGTCAACAGAGATGCCCTATCTTCCAGAAACTTCCCTCATTAAAACTTATCCTTCCAGCATTCTCCTCCCTCAAGGTCCGACACAGGAAGTAGAAATATTCAATTAGCCATTTCAAGTCTCCAAAGACCATAACCTTGCGCTCGGCCTATTTGCGTTTTCGTGACTTTTAATCCGCAGGAGGAACCGTACGGTTTTAGCCATGGTGGAAAAAGCTAGAAGGGAAGGTGTTTTGGCACCTGTGCTCCTCTGTCTACACCACAAAGGCAGCCACTTTCTGCTCAGGGGATGGTTTGTTAAGACCAGAACTGCGTACTGGGCTCCATTGTACAGATGAGGAAACTGAGGCCCAGCAAGGGAATCAGCTCACATGAGGGCACAGCTAGGGGATGGTTGAGCGGGGACTCAAGCCAGGTCTGTACCCCTCAACCCCTGTGTTGATCACAGCAACTACTCATGCTATGCCAGCCCCTACTCAGCATTTTATATGTGCCCTCTCATTTAATCCTCCAATGACCTTATAAGAGAAATGTTGATATTAACCCCACTCCACATTCTGTCTCCTCCTCTGGGTCCTACGCTGACCCCCAAGGTGGGGAAAAACATGGTCTAGATCTTTGCTCCTAGAAAACCAAGTTCAAGTTCTATCCCTGCCACTGTGTGTCCTGTGTATCCTTGGATGAGACACACATCCCCTCTGGACTTCCATCTCTTTTTCAGTGAAAAACAAAATAAGGGGCTCTGGAGTTCTCCCAAGCTCATCAGACAGCTGACGTTCCATGAGTCAGGGGGGTTTAATGCACTTCCCACGAGACAGCAAACACAGCTGGCTGCATGAGTTTAGATTTTCATGGCTTCTGCACTTTAGAACAGCTTCCCCACTAGACCCAGGGCATTCCATCCCCAGATGGAGGAGAGAGGGAGGTCATCAATGAAGACCTCAGTTCCTGACCCACCGCAGAGCAAGAGCCTCCCTGTGAGAGGATGCCCTGGCACCCGGGGACCTGAGAACTCACCATCACCTGCCGCCCAGCAGCCAGTGCGGTCCCCTGCCCAGCACCCTCCCCTCCCTTGAACTTTCTCCGCAGAACTTGCCCCGAAAGAAGCAGAGCCTCTCTAAGGCAGCTTAAAAGATATTAGAAGGTTCATTTCTCTTCATGAGTCCACCTCCGTGGTGGCCTGAGCCGAGGCTCACAGCTCCTGTAGAGCCACCTCCTGACCGCCCGTCAGCCAGAGCCAATTCCTCTGTAGTAAGTTTTTACTGTTAATATGACTTATTATCATTATAGCCATTTACTGGATTCCAGCTAAGCTCCAAAGCACTTTTTAACTAGCCCTCATGATCACTTCGTGAAGTTGGCTCTAATACGATCCCCATCTGGCAGATAGAGAAACCCAGCTTTCAAGAAACGAAGTGACATGCTCGAGGTCACACAGCCAGTGGAGAGTCGAGCCAGGATTTCAGTGCCACTAAAGCTCCAAGAAAGATGCTGGACACCAGCGCCTTGGGGTTGGTGAGATTGACAGGGAAGGTACAGAAGGCTCTGCCCATGCTGGGGCCAACCCTGCAGGCAGAGAAAGACGGGAGTCCAAGAGACACACTGGTTTGCCCAAAATCTAAAAGAGAAGGAAGGCAGGTGGGAGGACGAAGTTCGGAGCTCCTGGCTCTGAGCCAGTTTCTTGCCCCAACTCCATACTCCGTACGCACCAGCACTAAGATTCTGACGCAGGGGCTGGCCAGCTTCTGCCATACTAGGCCAGTTGGTGAAGATGTTAGCACTCGAGAGCCATGTGGTCTGTGTCCAAGTAGACAGCTCTGTCATGGTAGTAAGAAAGCAGCCATAGACAACGTGCAAACCAATGGACTGGGTTCCAATAAAACTTTATTTACAAAATCAGTCAGCTAGCTGCATTCGGCCCACAGGCTGTAGTTTGCCAAGTCCAATTCTAACAGAAGCCTTCGATGCTTTTGTGCAAGGAAGGGAGCGATGGGGGTAACAAGTCAGTGGGGGACCCAGATTCCCAATGCCGAGTGGGGGAATCTTTCTTGATGTTTCTCCAGTCACACCTAATGAGCTGACATGGGGGGCTTCTCCCATCAAGTCTCCCCTCTCCTGATAGGGTTTTCAGGACACTGGGGGCTTAAGAGAGACTTTGGGGTCTCTGAGACCGGGGTTCAGATCTTGGCTGTGCCGCTTCCAGCTGTGTGATCCTGGGCAGGTCGCTTGATCTCTCTGTGCCCCCTTTCCTCATCGGCAGCGAGAGATGGCAGCCTGGCCTCTAGGTGTGCTGTGAGGATTGTGTTTGTAAAGTGCTTAGCACGGTGGTGGCACGTAGGAGATACTCAGTACACCGCAGTTGCGGTCGCCGTTCCTGGAGTGAGTGAGTGTCTGCGTCTCTGGGTGGCAGTAGCTGACACACACCCCCGGCTGCCGCAGCCCTGCTGACTTGCACTGGGTCTCTCCTCAGCCCCACAGGCATCCGGGAGGCTGAGGGATTCGGAACGCCCGCGGGGAGGGCCTCCAGCATCACCCGGGCGGGGAAGGAGAACAGCGGCGGGATCAAGTGCAAGGCTGGCCGGGTAGGTCGCTCCGTGTGTTTACCTGGGGGCCCCCCAGCCTGGAAAAGAAAGGCCTTTGTGTCGTCTGGAGGGGGGCCGATGGGCCAGGTCACAGGTGCAGCTGGGAGAGAGGCCCTGGAAGCCACCCTCAAGGGACCTGCATGATGGTTAAGACACACTCAGCCTTGTGGGGTCTTTGTCACTGTATCTCGAGGTGCATGTCTCACCCGCCTGCATCAGACTCACCTGGGTGGATGCTTAACATGCAGATTCTGGGACCCACCCGGGGCCTCCTGACTCAAGGGGCTCTGGGGCAAGGGGAACCCCGCATGCCGCAAGGCTGCCCAGAGGGTTCCAACACACCCTAAACTCTAAGGGCCACTGACTTAGATTTCGAACTCCAATGGCCTGACCAAGAGCAGCGGATGAGCCTCTGGTGCATAAGAACATGTGTAGTTGGGTCTGATCATGTGGACTCAGGTGACACAGATTCCTAAACAGAGGTGTATAGACACAGACGACACAGACGACAGAAACGGATAATCCAAAATTCTTCCATTTATTCAGCGGACAGTTTCGTGTACTAAGTGCATCCCAGGCACGTCCTGAGTGTGGGAGATAAGCATGAATAAATGACCACCCTCACCATTAAGATGCTCTCAGTCTAGACTGTGCATTCCCACTGGGGGTGCTGTCACCCTGAAGGGGTCAAAATTGGTTCGGCTCAGGGAGGGCACAAAAAACCTTACTCGTTTTGTGCATAAAGCACAGCTATACACACGGCACATAAACAGATGCACAGTATACCTGTGGCATGAAAATTTCATAGTGGGAGTGTGATTAGGGAAAAAATGGCTAAAAAGTCTTCTTTTAGGGGGGGGGGGGGCAGTATTGAAAGAAAGGTTGAGAAACACACTGGTCCAGAAAGAAAGGCGGTCAAATCAATAAATAATCACAAAGCACTGCCATGACTACCCTAAGAGAGAACTATTTACTGAGGGGCCACCGTGTCTGATAATTATAGCTACTGTCTGCCAGCACCTTGCTGCGTGCTTCCCAGATGGATTTCTACTCTTTGCAACAACTCTGGGAGAAAGGAATTATTAGACCCATTTTGTAGCTAAGAAAACTGAGGCTCAGAAGGGACAGGTGACTTGTCCAAGGTCACACAGCTGGGAAATGGCAGGGCAGGGATCCAAACCCCAGTTTGTGAGTCTCCAAAACCCACACTCTTT